CTTCTTCTTCCTCCTCCACGATTTCATCCTCTAATTGCTCATCACAAGAAGGAAAAATCCCCTTAATGAGAAATAACCTTTCACAACGGTGACCAAGAGAGAAATTATCGTCACAATTAAAGCAAAGTCCACGAGTTCGCCTATCTTGTAATTCTGCTGGAGTCAATCGCTTAATGGTTGGAGTATGTGCTCGTGTGAGAGATACTGAAGGCATTGGTGGTGGCCCGGTGGTTGTTGGAGCCTTTCGTGGTTCCACATAGATTCTTCTTCGCTGCTCATGCAAGCGTGACTTGTAGAGTCGTGCAAGGCTAATTGCCGTTGACAAGGATACCGATTTACAAGCTTGAAAATCCACTCGAATTGCTTCCTAATAGCCCGCTTACAAAACACCCAACCTGTTGTTCTTCGGTGAGATAGCCCGCCCTATGCAATAGACGATCAAACGCCACCTGGTAATCTCTAATACTACCTGTTTGTTTTAGCTTGGTGAGATCACCAAAGAAATTTTGGTATCTTGAAGGGCCGTAACGTAAGTGCAACTCATATTTGAAAACCTCCCAATTTACTCCCTCTCTGCGCATTTTGAATTGTTGGAACCATAATTGAACATCTCCTCCCAAATAGTAGCCAGCCATAGGTAACTTCTTTGCCTCTTCCGTATGTTGAAAGTCGAAACATTGCTCTACTTGACAAATCCACCCTATTTGATCATCCATGCCATCATAGCGTGGGAAATCTAGTTTGGTAATCTTGGGCCCAATTAAACTTCCTCCCGATTGACTACGATGGTTGTCACAAGAGGAACTAGCATCATCTTCATGTCCTACACCGCACTCTGCAAGGCGATTGAACATGGTCTCCATGTGTTGCAAAAGACGCTCCTCGCTAGCTTTCACGGCTTGTTGTAAGTCGTGTTGACCCGTAGATAAGGAGCCAACGTCTTTCTCCAATTGATCCAAGTGGTGGTCAGACATTTTTGGCACTCATACCAAGTTGTCAGTTCCCCTCGATTGAGATCTAGTGATAGGTCAATTAATGGGTAATGACCAAGGATTGCCTTTTTGTTGACGACCTATTGTGATAGTATTTGGTAGGATACTTCGAGGGATCCTAAACCTCCTTAGTTTGGTTAATTCAAGAACACCAATAAAACTCCCAAATCAACACAAGGTTGAAGACAATGATAATTCGATACTTTTATTCATGGTTTCAAGCTATTAAATAGCTGAACAACTTCTTGTAAAAAAGGCAATAACATCTACTTAGGAAATTAGAAATTATGCTTGCAATATTCAAGCTTTTATTCTAAGGAAAAGACAATAATTTAGTAATCACGATTGACTGAAATTAATGTGTAATCCCCCTTCACATGCTTGATTGGTCCTTAACACTGTGCCGCCTGTAAACGTGGTTTTATGGCTTTGAAAGAGTACGTTGATCCTGAAATTGGTTCAATGCACATGAAGTCAGCTTCAAAATTAATAGAAAATAATTTGAATAACATGGGCATATAGAAAATTGTAGTGTAACTTTTATAGTGATAGCACCATCTTTTTACTCGAGGAGAAGTGAATATGGTCGGATGCTTTTGGATATATTCATGGAGACAATGATTAATCTTTAGATTTTTCAAATTTGAGTTTGGCAATAAATTTACATACCGTCCTTCAATTTGCTAGTCGAATGAGAATAGGAATCGAATCAATAGTACACTAAGCATATGGTGGCAAGAAATATTACTAAGACACAAGAAACAGGAGCTGACCCTTTGGGGGTATAAAGTCCTGTTTGATATTGATTGAAATCTAAATTTTAATATAAATCAAAATTAACAATTAATTTTAATAGCATATTTCATGGAATTTTTAACTTTTTAACTTTTATCATTTACTAAAATTTTGATTTTAATCCCCATCAAGCAGGGTAAAATCATAATAAATTTGAATTTTTTCTCTTTTCTCTTGTTCTATCTTACTCTCTTCCCCATGCTTTTTTATCAAAACTTTAACCCTTCCAATATTTTAAAATTTGTCTATAATTTCTCTACAAATTATTACATCTATTACAAATTTTTTACTTTCTAATCAAATTTTAAATTAATTAGAACTTAAATTTGGATTTTTTCCTATCTTATTTGTGTATATAAAATGTGTCTGAACCGATTACATTCAATTTAACTTATATTTAATTAATTGATTGATTATTGGTCATATATTTTTCCTTTTCGATTACTTGAATTGATTGTTTGTATCAAATAAACTATAAATTTTTTAATCGTAAATATGGTTTTTCTTGCAATGAGCAAAATATTAATAAGATGACTGTCGAAATCAAATGGATGAAAATAATGAGCAAAAAATTAATGAAGAAATGATTTTTAAATGTAAATCTGCATTTTGTCAGTTCAAGTATGAATTATTAAAAAATCAAGAACAAATCATTCGATTTGTACAGAGTTTAATTGTGTTCTCGACCCAAGATGTTTGCATCCACCATTGACAAGAAATATTGTTCCTTAGCTTTTCATTTTACTCCTCTTCCCGTCTCTAGGTAAGATAAGTTGTCTTTTATCGTAATTTATATAATTTTGTTATTAATGAAACATCTACTTATGGTCGCTAAAATATAACAAAAGAGGCTTCAGTTTTGGTCTTCTTAGGAATCAGAATGTAGGGACAATGATTCAAATATCCCTTGTTTCATACGACTTTATACCCTATATATTCTTTCCTGATTTTTCTTAATGTAGTATAGTATGTTGGTCTTGAAACTACACTTTGGAATATTATAAAGCCTCGTTAGGTCCACATTATCCAAATTGCAATAACTTGAAGTGAAAAAAGAAGAGGTTCTTGTCAAATAAAATTTGTTATCTGAAGCATCAATTTTATGTTATTATAAATTTATTCAAATTATGATGCCACATTAAGTTTGGAAGTAAATAATGGCATTATGAAAAAATATTTTCATAAGGTGATAGTCTTTACATACCAGATACTTAAGATAGGAATCATAAATTGTAACAACGATACTTAAGATAGGAATCATAAACTGTAACAATAAAATATAATATTCTTTTCTGTAACTCGAGGACTTTACTTTATACCTTTGGAGCGAAAATAATCCCAAGCATCAAGTGAAGAAGATTCCCAATATTACCTCCCCCTACATTTAGCATCTTAAAATTACCAAATGTCCAATCTTAATCTTTGCTAATGTAAGATTGATGATGCTGTAAACACTATTTCCACATTAGTTGTTTGATTTTAAAAAAATAAAAATAAAATAAAAATTCTTCTAATAGAAATGCTACACTTCATCATTTAAAACTTTGAATGTTTGAGATTAACATGTCACTTCATTCACTAGTCGAACATCTGTTTTTGTTTCAATCTAGTCACCATTACCGATTGAATTAAAGAAAATATGTAGCCAACAGAAACGATGATGTAACATGAAAGTTGTCCCACTAAACATAAATACTTAATGTTAGATAAGTGTTAATTCCAAATGGTCTTTAGTAAAGAAATGCAAATGAAAAAAACAAAGTCTGTCTCTTGCAAACAAATTTTACATATTTCGCCAGTTCAGAAAAGAAAATAGATAAAGTGCCAACTATAATTAAAAGTTCAGCAACTAACTTGAAACATATTTTAATTGCAATGAAGTTCCCTAATATTTTTAATTGTTGCAATTATATTCCCACCTTTCTATTTTTTGCGTCGCATTATTTACAATCTTCAGTCAATTAGAAAATATTATCATTAATGAAGGATTTCACTCAAAAATCCATTAGGAAGGTCTATAAAACTTATTTTGCGCCTCATACTTTTAATTGGAAAAAGAAAAAAAAATACAAAAAAAATAAAAATTAATATATTTTACTAAAGTTTTATAAGATATTTGCCCCTCACACCTTAGTGCATGCAATAAAAGTACAGAATTATAAAAACATAGTTCAGCCAAGAAATATGTATAAAGATGAGCGAGACAAGTTTCACATGAAAATATTCAAAATGTCCCAAAATCTTGATAAAGCTCAATCTTTCACCGTGAAGAAAAAGATTTGGCTGATATATATATATATATATACAGGGGCGGAGCCAGGAATTTTGTCCAGTGGGGGCAAAATTTAATCAAAGTCGAACTTTTCGATTATGGATTTAATGATATTATGATAATGCTAAAAATAACATAACGACAATACTAATAAGATAATTATCTTCTTCCTTATTCTAGAATCTATAGCAAGTTGTGCAATATCAAAATTCATTTTATTTGATATCTTTACATCAACAGTTTCTACCAAATATTTTCTTTTAAAGAACTCTACATTGACACTTCACACTAAAATAAACGACAAGTGACAATTAAGTACTAATTGATAAGAAAAGAACTACTAATTTTTACAAATTGGTAGAACACCATAAAGTCATTACTAATTGTTTCAAAAATTGACAATAATCAGAATTTCAAGAATCGATCACAAATATTATCAATATTCAACATTCACATAATTAAAATCCTTAATATTAAAAAGAAAAATCACATGATCAAGAAAATTTTTGCTGCAAATTGGAGGGCCCAAAAACATGTGGGTTTTAGGAAAGAAATGTACTTTGAAAATATTTCAAAACGAGAGCAGATTTAAAGAAAATTTTTTAATTTCTTGTTGAGGGAAGAGAGTCAGAAAATGTCACCGTGCACTTGGAGTTGGGGCAAATTAGTATATGGGTTAGACTTTAAATAAATGAAAAACATACCTATAAAAAAAAAAAAAAAAAAAAAATTAACCATGGGCTTGGGCCAAAAGTCCAGTGCGGGCATTTGCCTGCACTGGACTGTGCATGGCTCCGCCCATGTATATATATATATTTTTTTTAACAGAATTGAATTCCAAAACCCCTACAGGCCGTAGACCACAATGGAAGCAAGGTACCTGATTCAATTAGCTTTATTAGCTATATAAGAGTTGGAGGGAACTCCAAATGGACACCAAGACAAGCACTTTTTCTTCAAACATATTTGTTTCTAATAAACCCTCTTTGTGTTTGCAGTAATGGCGAGGCGAGATTTGGTGCCTACAATTAGGACCAACCCACTGTTGAGTGACAAGTCGAAGAATCCTAAACCTCCTACAACCACCCCTGGAATTCAGAGTCATTTGAATGATCATGAGAGTGAGAAACAGAAAATGAGTCATGATGAACTGGATCATCACAACCCTGCAGTTCGGCCTCTTACGGGTGCAGCTCTGCCTCTGTCAGCAGGCAGAGGTCATTTGATGAAGGGTGATCGCCACATTTCAACTGATGATATTGGTTTGAATAGGCAAATTCTGGGAACACATGCTCCAGATCATGAAGATCTTGACGTGAAGCCCATTCTTTCCATCATAGAGGATATCTTGCTTCGTGGCAAATCTCTTGAAACCGTGCATGTACAATGCTAATTATCTTGTTTTTGTTCATTGCTACCCAAATCCTCGCTGCCAAACATGCTTTTCGTTTTTCAACGCTTTCTAGAGTTCACCTTTAGCTGCATTTAACTTACACTTTTATGTGTTTATAATATAGGGAGATCAAGTTCCAGCACATTCAGAATCATATGAGGAGAAGTCCTTCCGAAATGCTTACCATGACTCGGAGATGGTTAAAATGTTGGCATATCCCATAACCAAAATTACGAATGAGGTATAGAGAATTTTGATTCCCTCATGCTCAATCTTGATTATCTTAAAAGCAAATCATGCTTTATTAGTTAAGAAACTTGTAATAGAGGCATTATTATCTTAAATGTTATTCTTAGCATTAGTTTCATGAATGTTACATAAAATTTATTTAAACTTCTAATAGAGGCATTACAGCATATATAAGCGCCCTAAACTAGACATTGTATATCAATTGTCAACGCAAGATTATGAATGTCTAATGCAACAGATAATTTGCAAATGTGGCGCTGGAGGAGAAGCACATTCAGTAGCCATTGGACTCCTTGAGACACTGTCAAACTACGGGTGGGATGCCAAGGCGGTCATTACGTTTGCTGCTTTTTCTGTCAGCTACGGTGAATTTTGGTTGGTTGAGAACCTTCGCGTGATGAATCCGCTTGCCAGGGATATTGCAGCCCTGAAGGATATACCAGAAACAATGGAGCAGAAAGAAGAAATGAACAAGAAGTTTCAAGCTATTGTTAATCTTTTACGCGCTGTACTGAACGTGACTCACATCATTATAAAGTTCAAGGAGCTCCCCACTCAATATGTGAACAGGGATTCACCAGAAATGAAAACTGCAACAGTTCACATTCCGACGGCTATTTATTGGATCATAAGGGGCATTTTGGCTTGTGCTTCAGTACTTCTGAACCTTATTGGCAGTGGTCATGAGTATGTTTCTAATTGTGCCTAATTGACAAAGTAAAAAAAAAAAAAAAAAAAAAAAAAGAAAAAAAAGGGAATTTAAAATATTTTTAAAAATAAACTTTTAGATGAGGTAATGTATTGACAATTGAATAATTTTGTTGGGGATCAGGTTCATTACCTCAACTGCTGAGTCCTGGGAGTTATTAAGTCTAGCTAGTAAGCTCTCCCACATGTCTGAGCACCTGCAGGATCAACTGAACAAATTGAATGATTTTATTGGTAAGTCACCATCAAATTAGATTCGTTTGAAATCATTGTTATGCCTAAACTAAAGATAAAGTAGTCCTACAAACACTTAGTATGGGTCCACCTTCTCAGCATCGCAGGAACACCTCAGAAAATTAGTCCCCAAAGAGACCTTCTTTACTACTTTTACAGGGTGTGGGTTAAGAAAGAGATGAGAAATTGGAGCATGCAGAGAATCACCGCACAACTTGTGCATCTTTTCTTGAATTATTGTTACTCATACAATTACTTAAATGATTATACTGTTGTGCAGATAGACAGTACCAAAAAAGGGAATTTGATGACATGGTTAATGCCTTTAAGGCATCTCATATCGACAACATGAAGATATTGAAGATGATTATTCGTGCCGGAGAAAATCAAATGCCGATATTTGATGGGACTAGACGGATAAATGTTGTCTACTTGTCCCTAGTACATGAATTTCTTGATCCCTTCCAATTATTCCTAAATGTGACCGTATCTTTTATGTTTTCCTGATGACAGGAACGCCTCGAGGTATTGAGAATGAAGTATGTCCTGCTACTAGTTTCCGACCTTGACCTTCCCCATGAAGAGCTCAACATTCTCCATATGATTTACAACCAACAGTCGACGAGGCACGAGTACGAGGTTCTATGGTTACCCCTTGTTGACCAGGCAATGTCAATGGGCCCAACACAGGAGAGACAATTTCTCGATCTTCGCAGCTCTATGCCATGGTATTCTGTGGATCATCCTTCGTTGGTTAATCCAGTAGCCATTAGGTACGCTCGGGAGATTTGGAATTTCAGCCACATGCCTATGCTCGTTGTCTTGGATCCGCAAGGAAGAGTGGCGAACGTCAATGCTTTACCCATGATGTGGATTTGGGCAAGTGTTGCCTTCCCTTTCACTAAAGAAAGGGAATTGGGACTATGGAGAGAGAGTAACTGGGATATCGAGTTACTAGCAGACACCATTGATCCACGTCTCCAGGAATGGGTACGTACAACATCGTGCACCCTAGCTATATTATTATCCTTCTTGCTGCAAGCATCAATCATTGACCATAATGCAGTCGTTATAACCCGTAAAAGATATGTCCATGAATATCAGGATTGGTAACTTGTTTTCATACATCTATGCAACATAAAAAAATGTCATGCCTTCTATTACTTCTAATACAGGTTAGTGGTTCGTAATAGATAGTGAGCATCGTATTTGTAACACAATGCTCATATAGGTTGATTTTATTTTATTTTTGTCAATGCTCACACTGGTGGAATTTATTTATTTATTAATTTTTTGTGTCGCAGATAAAGGATGACAAAACTATATGCTTGTATGGTGGAGAGGACATTGAATGGATTCGGCGATTCACAACTACTATGCGAAACATTGCAACCACATTGCGAGTTCCCTTGGAAATGATTTATGTGGGAAAGAGCAATCCGAAGGACAAAGTAAGAAGATGCCATGAAATCATTGACAGGGAGAAACTTAGCCACATTTTTCCATTGAAGGACTTTTATGATTATGTTTGGTACTTCTGGGTGAGGCTGGCGAGCATGTGGAACTCCAAAATTCAACATGGCATGACCGTTGAGACTGATAAAATAATGCAGGAAATCTTTACAATGCTAACGTATGACGGCAGTGAACAAGGATGGGCTGTTTTCAGCAAGGGCATATATAACATGACTAAAGGAAAAGGTGACATTTTGCTTACAGTACTCGACAACTTTAGACAATGGCAAGAAAAAGTGGATCACCCTGATAAGTTTGTGCCTGTACTGGACGCGGAGATCAGTGGTGTCCACCTCGAACACCACTGCAACCGTCTCATTCTGCCGGGGCAAACTGGATACATCCCAGAGAGGGTGGTTTGCTCCGAATGTGGACGTACTATGGACAAGTATGTCATGTACCGTTGCTGCACCGACTAATCTGAGCTACTATTACTACTACTGTTATTAAGGCTTTTGCTGCCATTATATATTTCAAAATAAACTTTTATCTTCTATATTTTCATGGCTTTGCCTTCTCAACCTAGATGATATGTTGCTTGTAAGAGAGAGTGAATAAAAGTGTGGAACTCTTTATGAAAGAATTTGAAATTAGCTTGGGAATTCAAGCATATATCTGAGTTTGGTAATTAATAAGGATCGATTCAAATTTGTCTTGAATTTGAAACAAAGTTCTTATGTGAACAATGCAGATGAAAGATTTAAATGGAGTTGTCCAAACCTTTAAAATTAAGTTCATTGCGGTGCCCTAAGACCAATTTATTCAACTAAAACACTATGATATAGAACCACAAAACACCGCCAATATTTTAGGCCACAAGATTACTGTAGTAGGAGGATTTTTCAATGTTTATCATTAATCTTTCATTCCAAAAGGATCACAGGACTCAGAAAAGAAGATGAAGACGAAAAAGATTAGAGAAAACTCTAGACACTGGGGATACTCAATCAAGCACAATCCATGTGTAAGGCAAGGCTATTTTTTCTCTAATAAAATGATACTTCACGTCAATATGTTTGGACCTCTCATGACAGACATAATTTTTACTGAGTAACAATGCACTTGGGCTATCGATGAGTATAATAGGAGAATCATGCCAAAAATTCAATTTTTCTCCGATCATTGTCACCAGCAAAAAAACATCTACATATGCTTTAAGTGTTAGTTTATCTGACCTTTTTTCATAAACAAGACCAGGGTTTAATGTACCAACAATGTATCTTAAAAATCATTTTAAACCAGCCCAATGTCAGTTTTAAGGGTTGGACATAAATTTACTCAAAAAGGTAATAGCGTAGGCTAAATCACGTCTGATGGTTATCATGAAAAACATTATAGATCCAATAGCATTTTTATAAGTGATGTTACTCATTTAATATTTCCTTTTTTCCTCAGTTTTAGGTGACTATGCAGTGGGGACATATACATATGTGTAGCAATCAGGACATGAACAGATTTTAGCTTGCTTCAAGCGAACTTATTTATTACTTTGTCCAAATAAGGTTATTTGTGTAATAGTTAACTTGTTTTGAGACATATTTCTGTCAATAACCATACCTAAAATCTTTTTGGCATTCTCAAAATCTTTCATGTCATATTTAATTTTAAAAAAGGTTCTTAAAGTTTTATGATTTCTACTTTACTTAAGCTTGCAAGTAATATGTTATCCATGTATAAAAGCAGATAAACATCACAACCACGTTTACTATTGTTATCGTACAGAAGGACATCATATTACTTCTTTTAAAATCAATTTTAAGGACATATGAATCAAATCTCTTACACCACTACTTAGGACTTAGTTTTAGACCCTACACCGTCCTTTCAAGTTTGCATACAAAGTCAATTTTTTGCTTCATCTCAAAACCTTGAGGTTGAGTCCTATAGATATTTTTCTCCAATTCAACATGAAGAAAAGAAATTTTAACATCTAGTTGTTTATGTTTTCAATTGAATTGAATAACAAGAGCTAAAGCTAGTCTGATTGTCTTATATTTAATCACAAGGGAAAATATCTCACTATAATCACACCTTTCCTTTGAGTAAAACCTTTAAAAACTAGCATAGTTTTATATCTCAAAAGATCGACGGACTGTTACCCTCTTTCAATTTGTAAATCAATTTACATTGCATATCATTTGATCCTTAGGCTTCTTAACTAATTTCCAGGTTTTATTATTTGCCCTTTTTTAGTTTATAGATTTTGGCCCATTCATTGCTTCTTCAAAAGAAGAAATTCTGAATGTTCAATATGGCTTCACCTGAAACTAGGGTAAAGTTAGTTAAGTTCTGGGATTTATATCTAGGATTTAGTCTAACATATCTCCTTTCTCTATATCTAAAAATTGATACTCCTGGATATATAGTAGTATCTTTAGTGACATGGATGTCATTTTCAAGTTCATTTTCTTCTTGAGGTTCATTTACCTCATCAACTATAGGTTTTGTTTTATGTTCTCATGTTAGAGGAATGATAGGTTCATTATTCTCTACTTGAGTGAAGTTATACTTATTCAACTTCACCTCAATCTAAGGTTTATTTAAAGTTTAAGATTCCCCTAACCTATCATCTTTTTGTTTTAGACATTGCTTCTCAGATTCATTGAACACAAGATCCCTATTGACAATGTTCTTTTGCCCTGTACCCCTAAAAGGTAAAAGGCTATAGCCTTTGACCACTCCAAGATAGCCCAACTAAATACATTTAGTGGCTCAATGTTCCAACTTGCCCTTAATCCATTGTGCATAAGCAACACATCTAAATATTCTACTATGTGCTAAATTTGGTGGCTTTTCAATCCATAGTCCTTAAAGAGATTTTAAACTCAACAGAATTGGATGGAGATCTATTAAGTAAGTTTCAATGCATACAACCTAAGCCCAGTAACTTTTATTAAGTCCAGAAGTGATTCGCATACATTTATCCTTAATCATCACGGTCCTAATCATTCTTAACCGTTCTATGCCTCGTTATTCACTTCTGTTTACAAAAATCATCAAATTCAAAATTACAAAACTCAAAACCATTATATGTTCTTAAAATTTTTGAATTTTTATCTAATTGATTTTCAACTATCTTAAGCCATGTCCTTATTTTTTTTAAATGTTTCATTTACCTTTAATGAATAAATCCACACCTTTTTGAATAATAAGCCGGAAGAGACAGAAAGTATCTATTCTCATTAAGGGTGGAATGTTTCTCTTGTCACTACAAATTTGTATGGATATAGTCTAGGGATCTTTTAGTACTATGTGAACATATCTCAAAACTCACCTAGTGAAATTTGTCCTACACATGTTTCACAAAAATTCAATGGTTCAATTAAATCATTCCCAAGTAATTTCTAATTACTTAAAGATTTTAGACCATTATTTCCAATGTACCCGGTTCTATTATGCCAAAGACTAGATTTATTTTCAATTACAGTAAATAGAATAATATCTTGTGAAGTAATTGTATCACCCACAAGATAGTACATTCTATTTCTCTTAGTCCCTTTCGTAACAACTGAGGATCCTTTCACAACCTTTAATGTGTGTATTTTCATATTTAAAGACATGCTCTTCAAATTCAAGAGTCCCAATGAGATAAGGTTTCTTTACAGAGTAGGCACATATCGACATTCTTTATTGTTCTGACAATGACATCATGCATCTTGATGGCGATGTCACCAATACCAACTAATGTTTATGAATTATTATCTACCATACACTCATTTCTAGGTTCTATTTCTTTATAATTGTAAAACCTATACCTAATATGGTACATATGGAATGTACACCCTGAATCTAATATCCAGTCTCTATTAATTTCATCACTAGGTAGTCATCACATGCAAACTATCTAATTCTGTATGAACATCAGCGTATTTAATTGTACATTGCTATGATCTTTTTGTTTTTGTTTTGTTTTGCTATTTTTTTCCACTCATAGCAATCTCTTTTAAAGTGTCCTAACTTACCACAACCATAGCACATTTTATTGCTTTTATATTTGGATTTGGACTTTACCTCAGACTTTTCCTTTCCCCTTTTTTTACTTTGAAAGTTATTATCCCTTTTCTTACTTCTCACTGTTACAAACAAGATCTCTTCTCTAAAGTTAGCCTTCGATTGTTTCCTAACCTCTAACTCTTTTGATCTCAGGGCATTTATTACAATTGTTTATTTAAATTTGTCTATAGAGTATTTTATTGCATTTCTCACATTCTTATAGGAATCTGGCAGAGAATTCTTCAAAATGACGGCTAGATTATCATCTTCAAAATTTTCTCATTGCGTGCTAAGCTTTTCATGATAGTACTAAAGTCACTTTAATTTACTCCTAAGTCTTTCCATGGGCCAATCTTAAAACAAAACAAATTTTCCAAAAAGATAAATCCTATTTGTTAAAGTCTTAGTTAGGAATAAAGTGTCAAGTGTAGTCCAGAAGTTTTGGCTTCATCTACTTATCTAACAATACAATTAAATAGATGCAGAACCAAAGAGCTATATACAATCTCATTTATTCCTTCAATTTCACTTGGTTTTGCTTTCCATTAACCAGAAAATGTTACAGGATCTTCAAGGGCTTTTGCCATCTTCTGTTGGACTAATATAGCTCTTATCTTTTTCTTCCAAATCAGATAATCCCCATATCCATTGAATTGTCAAGTTTGACCCGAACCCGTGACAGATTCTGTAAAAGTATGGATCGAATCCGAGGTCATTTGGGAATCATATTCTCAGAAAAAGAGTACCACACACTAAAAATTAAAGAAACGACATTATTGAAAAATCAAGATACGAGAATTATCTAAAAAGATGTACAGAAAAACAACAAATATAACATTTCAAGAAATCTTGCACATACTGAAAAAGGTCTAACCAAATAATCGTTGAAAAACGGTCCAAACCACTGAAAGCTAGTAATGAAGCCAACAAACTCAGTCAAATTTACAATGGACCAGTGAGATAATATACTGTATCAAACACACACTTGATGTTCAAAAAAAAAATTTTTGAACTAAAAATCCTATATTATATGGATCTTTTCAAGATCTACACGTATCTAGAAAATGGTTTTAAAGAAATATATTTTTGTTAAAAAAAAATTTCTCAAACAAACTTACCGAGAAGCCTTAAAAGGCTCTAATACTAATTTTGTTGGGAATTCGCCCTTTATAAAACGATTTGATGATGAACCTAGTTTAGTAAAAGTTGCCTGATTTGGGTAGCTCAGGAATCAGCCTGTTTCACAAGGGAAATGCTATGTGTACACCATGAGGTGTACACAATGCATTACATCTCTCTCACATGGAGAGGGGCCCACAAATATTTTATTGTGTGTGGGCCCCCTCCATGTGAGAGGTGTAATGCTATATGTACATTATTATGTACACATAGCATTTTCCGTTCCACAATGTGCAAACAACTACCTTAGAGAGAGCATGAATATATGACCAAATTAAAACGAGTTTTAGTCCTAGATCCAAAAGGATCTTCTGAAATTAGACCCAATGAACAATCTATTTTACTAAAACACTCTAGTACATAACCACACAATACTAGCAATATTTTTGGCTACAAGATTACTGTAGTAGGAAGATTTTACAAGGCTTATCCCTAATCTC